CTCTCTCTCTCTCTCTCTCTCTCTCTCTCTCTCTCTCTCTCTCTCTCTCTCTCTCTCTCGGATCTCTGGCAAGGTTTGTCAGGGCGGCCGGTGGTAACTGGGGGGCTTCGCTCCTCAAAGTTTACCCCGGCCTGAGTAGGTACTTAGCATAGCATGGGTTTTTTAATATTCAGAATTTGGAATTTGATGTTTTTTTTGGGGATCTGGCGGTTTTTGAACTGTTCCATGGGTGGGCTTTACGTACTAAGGGGGTAAGGGGGCCTGTGTCGTTTCCAGGGGAAGGTGGGATTTGGCACTATGACCGAAGGTACCAGAACGTAAGCTTTGGAACAGCATTCGCCGCGTGTACTATGCATAAAGGGGAATCGTATGATGCAGGCATGAAAATTTTTTTTCGGAGGCATGCCGGTACGTTTGGCATGGATAGCGCGTAAGTATGACAGAGACCATGTATGGCTATGGCGATAATTAGTAAACACCGGATAGGGATGTCGATACGAATGTGCATTTGATGCCAGTTTTTTTTTTTGCAATTTAAGTAGCGTGAACAAGGTGGAGTTGTTTATTGATACACGGCTGTATTTGGGATCATCAACGAAACGCGCGTGTGTGTTGTATCAGAGTTGCACTAGGGATTGTCTTCTACGCTCGTGCATTATGGGACGACCTCAGAGTGGGAGGATCCGAGTAGACTATGATGAGGGAAAAATGGAGATGTGTGGAGAGAGGGAGGTGTGACGTCGTCAAATGTATCGTCAGTATGATGAGGCGGGAAGAAAAAAGAGGAGAAAAAAGAAAAAAGGAAAAAGAAAACGAAGAAGGAGTGGAGGGATGGTGCGCTCTGGGAGAACGAGGGTGGAAATCGGGAAGGGGCAGGAAGTTGATGTTTTGGCAGATAGTTAGTAGTAGCGGAAGTAGTATTTAAAGAGATGGGAGGGATGGCTACAACCCTCTCACAAGCAGGGAAGCTTTCTCAAGGTGCTTTGTTTCTCCCTGATGAGTCTGTGGCGTGCGCCCACAGACGAAACGCGTCGGAGATCGCGTACATGTGGTTTAAACGCTGTATTCTGTTGTTTTTTAAGCTATCTTGAAGTTTATCGCTGGTATTTGGTTGTACTATGTATGATCTTCCAGTGACAAGAACAGTGTGGCCGCTGTTTTTCTGCATACTCTCTCTCTCTCTCTCTCTCTCTCTCTCTCTCTCTCTCTCTCTCTCTCTCTCTCTCTCTCTCTCTCTCTCTC